TGTGTTAACGAGCAGTTGGACAGGTGTACCTAATAAAGTGGCCAGTGAGTGTATATTAAGATCTGTATACTTTAGTTGGCTTGCACCACATTTTAGTAAAAAAAAATTAATTAACTTAACACTGACGTGTGTGTGAGGATGACTGGGAGGTATTTTACCAAGCTGAAACGTTGTCTTTCTACTCACTCCGGCTCTTTAGAAAACGTACTTTCTGGATCCAACGGAAAGATTGAATTGTATCCTGAGTTGCCATTTTCCAAAAGAAATATTGTATAATGCTGCTGCTTTTTTAAAATTATTATTACAAAGAAATAGGCTACAACGCTACGGGTTATAAACGRCATGAAGCTGCTGTGATGACGTGCAGAAATGGGCGGTACGAGGTTCTTAAAGAGACAGAAGCTGATTTCAAGGAGTTTAGAAACGACTGTGATGCAAAGTAAAAAAAATTATTTATACATATAAGCAGCATTTTCATGCTGACATAGTTACTTTATTATGGTATAGAATTGAACTATAAGCCTTAGAAACACATCATATTGGCCCTTTAAATGTTTCTGATGAATAAGTGCCTCCTCACCTGCCTGTCCACCTCCGCCTTCCTCTGAGCCGTTAAACCTGCGCTGCTGCAGCTCTGACAACAGTTCATGACCTGCAGACAAACAAATTAACAAAAAAAAAAACTGAAAGAAATGGGCTGATATTTAATAATTTACAGTAAAATAATGAGATACCAGTGTTTGTTTACATRCATTATTCTTTACATCATGGACCTCTGGTCAAAACACACAGACTCCTTCACACAATAACAACATTCGGCCATAAATGGTGACAATTTGACTGAGGGTTAATGAGAGAAAAGCCTTTTGGTGTCATTCTCAGCTATTTCAGSTCAGGTTTGGTTCTTTCCTTTCATCAGACTCATATTAAATCAGAAATCAGCAGTGAAAAATAAAATACATGAAATGTATTGTAAAGTTTACAGAAATGATCTATTAAAACTGTGACTCTGGTTCTTTTTATTGGATGAAAGCAGCGTCAGTTCATCCATCACAACTCAAGTTTGTTTTTTTCTTTTCTCAACAGGAAATGCGCTGCAGAGTCGGCCGGGGGAGACGGCTTCTGCCCGACAATATTTAAGACCTTTGAGCATCAAATTTAAGACCAACTTACACATTTTTAAAATCAAATTTAAGACTTTTTAAAGTCTTAATTTTAGATATGTAAATTTAAGACTTTTTAAGGACCCCTGAGACCAAACAAGGACTTGAACAAAACATCGCTCTGTGATGAGGAAGCTCGGTTTGGAGACACATCCCAGACGAGGAGCTGGTCCCAAAAGGGGGTCAGTATTTGGTGCTAATTGATGTGGTTTTCCCATTTCARTTCTTATGTCTGAGATGGTTTATTGACTTTTTCATCCTTTTCTTAGTAATCTTGAAAAGGTACAACACTGTATCAACATTTGTCAGAAGTGAACCTCTAAGGTTTTTAAATGAGAGAGAATCAGACTTACCAGTCTGAAGGACGGTCTCAGGGTCAAAGGATGGCAAAAGAGCACAGTCAGCAGATCTGCAAAGGTACAACAAATGACATTATGTAAAATTGTGYAACCAGGAGTAGATGTTGTGTATGTACAGTGCCCACTTGTCTTTGTCCACCAAAGCACTTTTTTCACTGTCGTTGATAACTGACAGTTCATCCAGCAGTGACGTCGACTCCTTTGTGAACTTTTCGAAAACCTGCAATAAATCACGAAGATACCAAGTTATGGAAACTTTTCACTTGAATATAAGCTTTGAGGATAATAATTCAGTCACCAGTCTTTTGCTGAGCCAGTCACTGTGGTCATAGTCCAGACTTCCTCCAAAATCGTCCGTCAGCTGAGAGGGTTCAATGTAACGAGTCAGCTTATTGGCYGAGACCAGGATCACCTGACAGGAAGTACAAACACAAAGTGTTGAGTATGACAGATGATGGCTGTTTCACTGTAAGGTTAACTCTATCCATCCATTATCTTCAGCTTGTTGTGGATTTGAGTCACAGGTGGAGGTGTTGAGTAACAAGTAAAGTACTTGACAAAGTACAAATATTTTGCTACTTTGCTTAAGTAGAAATGTTGGCTACCTTYACTGGAGTAATTATTTTTCAGTCGACTTTTTGCTTCTACTCCTCATATTTTCACACAGTTACCTGTACTTCCTACTTCTTGCATTTTGAAATAACCTATTTCATTTTGGCTTGTTTTCATTCGGCTTGTCATTGTTTAATAAAACATACAAAATACAAATAAATGTATATAAATTACACAAGGTAATTTTCTGGATTTTTTTTAATTCTCTCTCACTGTTAAAATTAACCTACCTTTAAAATTAGAGATTGATCATGTCTTTGTAAGTGGACAAACTTGTGAAATCAGCAAGGGATCAAATCCTTACATCTCCCAGTGTAAGTATACAAGCAGCTGAAACTCTACATTGACATTTTAATACATGAGCCATCACATCAAAACAAGGATTAAGTCTAAAAGTTGTAAATGGAGAAACAGGCAAACATATTGTTTTGATTAAAATGTTTGCAAAAATTGCATTTTGTCAAAACATAATGAATAAAAAGCCTTATTAATGTATCATTTGAATGAACTGTCTGAAATATAACCATAAAACTAAATTTTGAAGCACCGTTTTGAGCAGTAGCAACAAAAAAACAAATTTTGAGGAAAAACTCCTTAAATTTTTGAGTTTTCCATGCGAGTTAGCAAAGTTTTGTTTCTTTTCAGCTGGAAAATCTCATTATTCAAATATAATTTGACGTTTCCTCTTTATAAGAACATCAAAAATTCCTCATTAAAACGACACAAAATTAGGATTCAGACCAAATATTTATTTATTATCGTAACCAACAAGACAAATAAAGATGTATATATAGATTTACTTATATCAGAATGATCCAGGTATTAAAATGTAGCTTTTAAAATCTTTACTTTAATCTAGAAAAAAAATGTTTTAACTAAAGCAAGAATGATTTTTTTTCCAAAAGTGGATTTAATCCCATGTTCAGTGAGTAATCCCTGCAGAAAAGTGTCCTCAGCCAACACCTGTGTTGACTGAGGTGGAAAACTGTAGACTTAGAAAAATAACTGAACAGATCCAGCTGTCAGGTCCCTCCCACTTGCCCTTTGTTGAGCTGCACCCCCCCCCCCCCTAAGCTCCTCCCACACAGCATGGCCTGCCATCAATACGAGTGTGGGCCACAGACAGTGTTGTACACTTAGCAACTTTCACTACATCTAGCGACTTTTTAGACCCCTTTTTAGTAACTCTTTTCCAAAAAGCGACTAGCGACACATCTAGCAACTTTTCCCAATGTTTTGGAGACTTTTGGAAGCTTTGGAGACCACTGAGCTCAGGTGAGAGGGTATTTTTCTACATATTAAGAACAAAAATCAGGATAAATATGAAACTCCAAACTTTATTTATGTCTTTACTAAACAGAGATACATAGAGTAGTTTTTTATAGGCTCAAACTAAACTTGTTGAACTTTGGTGGGTTTTTGAAGACGGCACAAATTTTCTGCCAGAATTTGACTGGCCTTTAGGATACCTACTATTATTTGAAGAGATGAGGAGGAACAAAGCAACTTCACAATTAAACAATATTTAGAAAAGCACTGACAGAAAAGGTTTAAAAGATTTTAAAACAAAATGTAGTCACTTTTTAGGACATCCCACATAATTAAATGCCAGAATCTCAGTGTAAAGAAGCCTGAAAGCTGGTTTGATGTGAAGTAAAGGTTAGGTAGGTTCTAATGGAAACRGGGCATTAGTCATGGAAGGACTCACCTCAAAGCCCAGGCGGTCTTTCTCCTTCCAGAAGCAGAAGTGAGTGACCTTCTTATCCCAGAATTCATCTGGCTTCACCACACAGACAAGAGAAACCTCTGCTGGGATCACGTTCTGAAACAAGTACACCTTTACCGTAAGAACATACAACACCAACTCCAAAACAGTTGGTAACAATGTTGTTTATAATGCAAATAAAAATGAATGCAATGGTTTAAATGTCAAAATCCCATATTTTATACATAATAACTCATAGCAAATAAATCAAAATTTAAAACTAAGAATTTGTACCTTAAAAATGTAATTTAGAATTTGATGAGC